AAATTGCTAACGTTCTCATTTTTACCATATAATGATAAAATAAATCAGTTAGAATATAAATATTGCACTTACATTTCAGTGCGTAGTATATAGAGCAGTATAAACAAGTCATTGTCTGTATGAAATTTTAGTTTGTACTGACTTTGCTAGTGCTTTTTATGTAGCCTGTTGTAAAACTAGGTAAATATCTAGATGAGTTAATGTGCCCCCTGGAAGATCTCTGCGTACCCCCAAGGGTACGTGTACCCATGGTTGAGAACCATTGTACTACACTATGAAAATTATCCATTGCTGCTAACTGGTGTCAGCAACCGGTGCAGCTAAACTGGAGCTAAACGCTGTTCGGCTGCACATAGAGTCAAGGACAAGCTGTGGTTTTGGCAGCCTTTTTTTATTTTTTGGTAATCTAAGCAACAGTGCAGGTAAGAACATCTTAAATATAATGAATCCTTTACTAAAGACTTTCTTTATTAGGACACTGCCTGACTAACAAAACCTTCGAAATCTGTTCCACCTTTATTAGAAAATCAGCTAAACCAGCAGTTCTCAAACTGTAGGTCAGTACCCCATTTTAATGGGGTCACCAAGGCTGGTGTTAGACTTGCTGGGACCCAAGGCCGAACCTGAAACCCAAGCCCCACTGCCTGGGGCCAAAGCAAAAGGACTTCAGCCCTGGGCAGCAGAGCTTAGGGTACAGGCCCCCTGCCTGGGGATGAAGCCCTTGGGCTTTGGCTTTGCCTCTCGTGGTGGTGATGGTGGTGGGGCTTGGGCTTTGGCCCTGCCCCCGCTTGGGGCGTCAGGGCTTGTGTGGGCTCAAGCTTCGGTCCCCCCTCCTGGGGTCATGTAGTAATTTTTGTTGTCAGAAGGGAGTCAGTGCAATGAAGTTTGAGAATCCCTGAGCTAAAAAACTGCTTTGTCAGTCCCATAAATGGTCACTTGCGATAAGTTTCAGTCTGCATGACTTGCATGGCTTCTCATTTCTTAATTTCTCTCTCCTTCTCTTCCCCTGCCCCGAAAAAATATGATCTTTTCATTTCCCTTCTATCTGAGTTCTCTCTTCAGAGGTACAGACTCTTTCAGACATGCCTGTGGGGTGAGTCTCTTATCAGGAAAATAAACAGGAGCTTGTTGACTTTGTAGATAAAAACTGCTGTGCTGCAGGAGACTGAGATTCTCTCCCTGTCTTACATCAGACAGAGCAACTATAATAGTGCTGGCATTGTTGTCCTCTTTCTGATCTTCCGCATGAGAATTCCATAACTCCTTTCAACATGAATAGGGTCATGTGCAATATCTGTTTTCATGAGGTTTTGGTTAAGTTTTACCATTACCTCAAGCAAATGTTCAGGGTCATTTTTGTCTGCAAATCCAGATGTTTCATGTCCTCACCTAGTTTTGCAAAGTTTCAAGTGTGTTTTGTCTACCGAATAATTATATTTAATTACGGGATTTTGTGAATTTAGATTCCTGTCCAGTAGTTGTTTGTGTTTAAAAAAAAAAAAAATTGTCTGAATGTGATTTAGCTGCTAAGTTCCAGTGATTTGACTGTTCAGAACAGAAAACTTTATTGATGCATTGTCTGGGGACTCATGTCTTCTGTGTCTTGTAGACCAGAGGCAGTGTCAGTGCTTTATGGATATAATGCACAATAATATAGTACTTCATAAAGCACTTTGAGAAAAGGCTGTATTGCATAAACTACCGTGTGTGCGTGTAATATGTATACATACATTAATTAGTCACCACTGTAGTGGAAGCATATCTCAGGTAAAACACAGCAGCCATTTAGCAGTACAGTAAGAATAGATTTAAAAATGTTATTGAAGCTAATGTTAGAATTATATAATACACAAGTTAAGGAAGGAGTGTCTGTACATCTGGGTATAGCACTTAAATTATCCAAAAGTACAAAGTTTGGTTTAAAAGACATACAATACATATAGTACAGGGGTGGGCAAACTTTTTGGGCCGAGGGCCACATCTGGGTGGGGAAATTGTATGCAGGGCTGGGGCAGGGGGTTGGGGTGTGGGAGGGAGTGCAGGGTGTGGGAGGGGGTGCAGTGTGCAGGAAGGGGCTCAGGGCAAGGGATTTGGGCAGAGGAGGGGTGCAGGGTGTATGAGGGGACTCAGGGAAAGGGTTGGGGTGCAGGAGGGGTGCGAAGTGCAGGAGGAGGCTCAGGGCAGGGGTGCAGGAGGGGTACAGGGTGTATGAGGGGGCTCAGGGCAGGGAATTGGGGTGTGAGGTGCAGGCAGGGGGCTTAGGGCAGAGAGTTGGGGGGTGGGGAAGCGCTGCGGCTCCTGGGGGCGGGGCGGAGGGCGCTGTGTGCACTGCCCTTGCCGCGCCTCCAGGTACCTCCCCTGACGCTTCCATTGGCCGCAGTTCCCTATTCCTGGCCAATGGGAGCTGTGGGGGGGGGGGGGGCGCCGGGAGGAAGCCCCCACGCATGGATCTCCCTCCCCCCCCCCGGGGGGTGCAGGGATGTGGTCCCAGCAGCGCCGCGGGCCGGATCCAAAGCCCTGAGGGGCCGGATCCGGCCTGCGGGCCGTAGTTTGCCCACCCCTGATATAGTACATAATCAGGAATAACTCAAATTTAGATTAATAAATTTAACGATACAGTTTAGATATTAGCATCCAAATATTCTGGTACACTCAAGAAAAGTTAAATACAGAGAGTTGGTTGTAGAAAACAAATATAGCAATGAGTGTAGATTGTCCCTCAGTAACCGAGCATTTAGGATAGGTTGTCCTTCACTAGATATAATCCATCAGAGAAGTATTCCAGTTAGTTTCCCGACTGCTTCTCAGCGGCACTCCAGATCATCTTTCCTGGTATTGCCGATGTCCAGTGATGTATTCTAGAATAGATAGATGTCCCTCAACCACCTGATGGTGTCCGATACCATGAGTTGCTGCATCAGCCGAGCGTAGTGCTGATTCCACATTCCCGCTCGTTACTGGGGTCCCATGCACCCAGGACTCTGACGATCAGTGCATGTATTCAAACCTTGTAATCCTCCATCAGATACGATGGGAAGAATAACTTTTTCTGCTTGAAAACTATAGAGAGAATCTAGGTAGGCAAACTGTAATTGCCAAAGCTGGACCAATTCTACATCATTATAATTAACCCTCAGATATCTTAAACTCACAGTTCCATATCTCACTGTGCCCAAGTAGAACTTTCTGTACCTTGTCTCTAGTCTAAAATAAAACAAAAACATGCACACTAATTCTTACCTTGTAGCTTTTTAAAAAAAAATACTACAAACATTTGGTAAGAAATGTTTGTACTTGTACTTGTTTGTTTTTCTCATTCCTGGTAACTGTAGACTTACCTAGCTTTTATTTTAATAGTATTTTCTCAGTGACTGGTGTCCTAATGTTATTTTCCTGTTCCTTTTCAGACTTTTGACGCAAATGATCTGTATCAGGGACAGAACTTCAGCAAGGTTCTCAGCTCCCTAGTTGCTCTAAATAAAGTAACTGCAGGTAAGTAAAATCTGTTCTGCTTTGATGCATACTGTGGGGAAGGGGATCTATGATGTCATCCTTAAGCAGCTCGGATAAATTAATATAATTGACATGTCCAAAAATGCTGCCAATGGTCATTTTGCAGAGATGCTTTCTCTTTATATTTTCTTCATCTTCCCATGTATTAGTTTTGCATTGTTTTAAAGGAGCTTGAAAGGATTTGTCAGTATTGTCTAGTTTGTTTTTAGAGGAGGTTTCACAGTGAAGTAAATGTGGAGGTTTTTAATTTTTTTTAAAAAGTACCTGATGAGTGTGTGTGTTTCTTTAGATGCTAGAAACATACACATTGGGTCCAGTCCTGCAATCTTCACACATGGGTCAATTTTACTTGTGCGACTAATTTAATTGAAGTAGATGATACCACTCACATGAATAAGGTTTGCAGGATTGGACTGATTGCCACTAAAGACTTTCTCCTTCCTTATTACGTTTCTTTCTGATCCTGCGTGGAGTCCATAATCCTGTATTTATGACAGGGCAGTGTTTTGTCATGAAAATGTTATGAAGTAATCATTAGGTCATCATATTAGGTATCAAAATGAGGAAGAGAAGATGAGCTTTAAGGACAAAGGCCCTTATTTAAACACTCCAAACTTTAAGAAGATAAAAGTTTTGTATAAATGGATGTAAAGAGAAGTCAGTTGTAAGTGAATTTTCCTTAGTATGACAGTAACTCTTCAAATGCAATTTCTCATTTTTTATTGTGCTCATTGTTATGTTCATGGCATAAACACATCGAAGTTAGATAAAAATATAAATACTCTTGCTAGAAAGTAGCAACGTACCACTACTTTATTTCTTAGAAATCAGAACAATAACACAAAAACCCTGAAACAGACACAAAACAGTCTGCTCCCTAATACAGAGAGGCACGATCCACCCCATCTTACTATATAGGCTTTCTGTCTGCAGACTAAGTCAGATGTTGCACACTTCCCTGTAGAGCTCCCGAGCTTGCAAGCAGGACTAGGAAACGCCCTCTCTCCCACTCTGAAAGTAATAGACTGCAGTTCCAACACAGCCCTCAATATACCACACTCATCTGTTGTATTACAAAAGGAAAGTTGTGTTTTTGTTTTACATCAGAAAATATTTGTATTGCACTGGCTTAGTAGATTAGTAAGAACAGATTCAGCTGGTGTAAACCGGCATAGACTGACGGTCACCTGGTGACTCCATTGGAGCTAAGTCACAAGTGTGAATGCGGACCATTTCAGTATTCCTTTAAAGTTGCTACCATCCAGTGGCTGTGGTGGTCTGTGTGTTAAATACCGTACGTTGTTGCTCATGTTTCAAAAGGGAGAACAAAGACTGGATGCTCAGGCAAGCTGAACTGTCCTTTTACTTGTAGAAGTGGCCAGAGCTGTTAAATATCCGAGGCTGGCTCCTCGTCCAAACAGTTACTTTTCCGATTTTAATGGGGAGAGTATGTGGGAGGCACTCTAGGCAGTATTTCAATGGTTAGTCCTGGTGGACTGCTGTCATGATCTCCAATGAGTTCTTAATAGTAATTAATATGTAGCTATTATATAACACTTTTCAGTAGACCTCAGAGGAGGTCAGTGTCAGCCCCATTTTACAGATGGGGCAGCTGAGGCACAGGGAGGTGACGTGACTTGCCAATGTTCACCCAGCAGGCCAGTGGCGAGAATAGAACCCATGTCTCCTGAGTCCCAGTCTAGTGCTCTAGCCATTAGGCCGCACTGCCTCCCTCAAAGACTCTAACCATACAGACCTTTCCAAGAGCACAGTTCCCAACCTACCCACAGGCACAGGGATATGGCGAGAGTACTAGTCAGTGAGATCAAATGCTACTATGCAAACACTCACTCCAAACGTATTTCTATAAGCACACATGGGATGGGGATTAGCACACTCCAGGCAACGTCCTATGATCACAGACTACATTGCAGGAGGATAGGAGAAACTCTAAGGGGATAGAGGGGAATCAGGGATGGGGGAAAGTTGAAGGAGTGAAAGTGGGGAATCAGAGAAGTGGTAGGTATAAGGTGGTGAGATTTTATGCAAATGAGGCAATGCATATTTGATAAAATATGCAAATTATAGCAGTCCATCAAATTCTGTATTTTATGCAAGTTTAGCAGAAACTTTTTCCAAAGATTTTAGTGGAAAAATGACTTTACTATGGAGCATTTTTGCAGAATTTAATTTGTTTCCACTAACTCAAAAATTGGGGGGGAAAATGAGCCTCCTATTTTTTCCCCTTTTTCTATTTTTTTCTTTTGGCCTTCCCCTTTTTGCAGTGGCTGAAAATAATTGTTTCTTGTCCATTTTGGAAAATCAAAAACTTTTCAGTTTCGCAAAAGAAAATGGGGCAGGAGGGAATTAAAAAAAAATCATGAACAAATTAAACACAAAATTGATCAATTTCAAATCCTGGAAACTACGAAACAATTTCAAACTTTTGAAAATTGTAAAGAATCATTTTCCTTTTTTTGACAGCTCAACATACCAGATATGAGTGGTCCCTCCTGTTTGGCATTGGGGTAACATGGACAGGGCATTCTGGCACTGCCCTTGCTGTCGTGTACTGGATAATATTTTGCAATGGAAAAATAGAGAGTGACAGGCATTCCTTAGGCTGCCCAAACTAAACTAAAAAAAGAAAAGAGAAGAAAATAGAAAACATTATCAGCAAAGCAAATGTTATCATAGATCTTTACAATATGGATACAAGAAACAGTTAGTTATATTAAAGATATTATGCAAGTACCACACCAGAGCAAAACTGCAATGTTTTCTTATTATATGGTAGTTGCAGACCTCAACAAAAGTCCTGACATAGTAACCCTGTTTTCATGGAAGAGAGAATTTCAGGACGCAGCACTCATCTCTTTAAAAACAGGATTTCCATATAAGAGGGTTTCAAAGTGGTCTTCCCACCACATTCAATACAAGCTGGATAACAAAGCAATATATCAAAGAGGAAATACCTGATGATCTCCATATGCAAAGCAGGAAGTGGGGGGTAGGGATTTCCATCTGGAAACACAGAGATGAACTGCCTCCAGGTTTACCACTGGATTTGGTGACATGTCGGTTCCTCTGCTTCAGTTCATTTACAAATTGCAAATATGTTTTCTTTTTTCATGGTAATATATGCATCACAAAGACATTTCAGGTCACTGTTATCCTTTCTCTAAAATATCTTGCTCTCTGACAGTCCTCGTATCTGGAATTTTAAAGTTGACTATAAGGAGTATTAAAATAACCAAGACAGCTACCTTGTGATCCATAAATGAAATGTTCTGTCTTGTGCAAAGTAAACTTGTGATCCATAAATGAAATGTTCTGTCTTGTGCAATGTTGTCTAGTCCCTCGTGCTCCCAGTGTATAATAAAAAAATTAGAGCTTAGGCATACTACAAATGGAAGAAAACCCCAAACCTATTTTAAGCTCTTATATTAACACAGAGATTAAAAAAAAATAATAATTAGCGTAGGAAATTTCTAAACTGTTTGGAATATAAGAACAGGAGTACTTGTGGCACTTTAGAGACTAACAAATTTATTAGTCTCTAAGGTGCCACAAGTACTCCTGTTCTTTTTGCGGATACAGACTAACACAGCTGCTACTCTGAAACTTGGAATATAAGTGCTCCATTGATTTCAAATTATAGTATGTTGATGTCAATCTGAATAAAATGTATATTTTAGTGAGAAGAGAGAAAAATAACTCTAATAATGCACCAGTTAATCACTATGCATTTGTAACATAGTATATTTATAATCTTTCTGAAAGATAAAGATGAGTCGTTGGTACAAGATAAAAGTATTAGGAGAACTTCTTGAAGGAACTAGAGCATCCTATGAATTCGACAGCCCTCTGTTTCCCTGCTGCTCCATTCATTCTTTCACCATACATACACACCTCATTACATTTCTGCCACACCAAATGAGCTGCTTTACCCTCAGATTTAATTTGACATTGAATGGTGGGTATCTTACATTTCCTTTTGTTTCTGTACATGGCACTGCCGGGGAAGTGCAACTGCTATAGACTCAGATTGCAAGCTGTGTGTCTGTTTCAGTCTGCTGCTGAGAAAGCGCCATGTGCAGGAGCATAGTTGTTTCTCCACCAACCAACAGAACGTCCATGCTACAGACAAACGGGGCGATGGTAGAGAGGCCCAAAGAAAGGGGAAGAGTTGCCTGGTAGCCTACTAGTGCAGCATCAGAGCTGGGATGAAATCGATTACCTTGCTGTTTGGGATCACTAGAGCCAAAGCTGAGATCAGAAGTGACTTTGTGTTGCTGTCTGATGAAGGAGCAGCACCGATGAGCTCTAAAGAAAGCGGAGTGCGGCACTCTGCCTTTGGATGGAAGGTCTCAGCTGTGTGGTCTGTTGGGAAGGGAAGCAAATGAAGAGGTTTAAAAAACAAACAAAAAGCCCACCACCACAACACCCCTCCACCCCCAGCAACAACCTAAGCCTCGGCGGAGAGAAAAAGGAGATAAATTAATATAGAAAAAGGGGGCAGTGGAAAGTGTTATTTTTTTTAATTAAGTGATGGATGGGCAGAAATAAAGGGTGTGGATGAAAAACTAAATGAGCAAAATCGAAGTATCAAAGAGAGAATGAGTGGGTAGGAGGAAGAGGGCAAAGAAACAGATATAGCTTGCTTAAATATAGGCAAAAATAATGTATTTGAGTTTCTTTTGACCAACTGAAAAGATGTTGGTTATTAGACTCTTTAATTTGACTGCTAGTGGATAGAAAATGAGAAATACTTTCAATCCTTTCGCTCCTCCTAAAATTTTGGAATCCATTCCCCCACCCTTCCTGACCTCCATAAGAATGTGTATGAAGAAAACTGCCACTGTCACAGGAGATTAGATTAAATTAGCCCCTTGCAAGTAATGGGAGTTGATTGAAGATTGAATTATGACTCGAATCACTTGAAATCATGTAACCAGTGTAGGTATTAAGCATAGTTTTTAATTGACATTCTAATGTACCTTGTTTTGTTTGAATAAATATTTTAACTTCAGAAATGTGTTTTCATAACAGAAAAGGACTGGTATGAATTTTTTTCCAAAACCTTTAATTTTCTGAAAATATAATAGAGGAAATTAGTCAGTTTTCATTGTCCAGGTCAATGACTTACTACATTATGGTTGTGTGGAGTTCCTCTAGCGTCTCTTGATTTTTTTTTTTTTCTTTTTAGGCCAAGATTTTCAAACTTGGGTGCTTAAGACTGGACACCTAAATCCACATTTAGGTATATTTGATCTTATTTCTTGTGTTCAGAGGTATTGAGCACCCACAAATTCCATGGTTCTGCTTTAGGCACTCAAGCTTGATCTTGGTGTGTAAAAAGTGTATCTAATTTCTGCAATTCTAGTATTTTGCTGTCATCTCTACAGACATTGGGCTAGGAAGTGATTCCGTATGTGCACGGCCCTCATCTCATCGGATAAAATCTTTTGATTCCCTTGGATCCCAGTCTTTGCACAGTAGAACTTCAAAACTCTTTCAGGGACAGTATCGAAGTTTGGTAAGTTGTGCTGGAATTTAATCATGTTCAAGGATTTTTTTTTTTCTCTTTATCAATCTGGATTAAAACAGTGTTGCAAGCCAAGATGGGTGACCCCAATTTCACAAGTCCTTGACTGCTCTCTTGCTCTTGCATACATATAACTGGGGCCTCTAAAGTTATGTTGTGTTGCAGTGGCTTTTTTTTCATTCTCTTCTGAGATAGTCAGTCTTCTGCATGCTCGCAGCCAGAAGTATTTCTGTTGTAACACTAAGCACTTCTTGTTGTATGCCTGCGTACATATTTTTTCTTTGATTTCTTTCTTTTTTTTTTTTTAAATAAAGAAGCACCTCTCAAAAGGGCAAATTTTCCATCTCCTCCAATGGGACTGTGCCTTCCCAACTCTCCAGGGTTTCCAAGAGAAGGGAGCCTCCTCTAAAGCTTTGCTCACTCAGTCCCGGAGGAGGCAGTTTGGAAGATCTCCCAGCCACTTAGCAGTTTTGGCAGCCTGTACACTGAGACCCTGAGTCCCAGTTTTCTGGAGCTCCCTATCCCCCTCCCCCCCCCCCACCACATGGTTCCAACATACACAGAACCACATTGTTGAAGTGTCAGGTATACACATCTTAAGAATCTGTGTTGCAACACCTAATATGGGGTTTGCCACCAATTGAGAATCTCATAGTTAAACAGATTTGTAGCTTTACAGGATACACAGAGGACAAGAGACTGCTACCAACAGCAAAGTCCTCAAATAGCTCCTAGTTCCTTCTTACCCCCAAAGTATGCTGGCCTGAGAGGTTCTGTCTTTGTGCACTTGTAATAATTGATCCCTCAGCAATAGCTATAGGATCACTGTGATACTATGTGAGTGTACGTGTATACGTCACATCCTCTGAGCAGTTGACTTCCCACCATGTTTTGAACACATTATAGTCAGTGTATAGTCAAAAATGTACCCTCTTGCAGGTGGGGACGTGAGACCAGATTCAATTTTTTCAAGTTTTTTCTTAAAACTCCACTGTGGGAACATCTATTGCAGGACATCCCAACCCAGTGAAATTCTAGTTGTAAGACTCCTAATTACTGAAGCCATGGTATGAAAACTGCCTTGGCCTGTCTAGGAATATACAGCCTGCTCTATAAAGGAGGTAGTGGTAGTTTTTGGCTGGCTTGGCCATTGGACTCACTTTCCGATTTAGAGAGAGCAAATGTGGAGGCATGCCACAAAACACTGTGTGGGCTGCCCTCGCCACTGGTTTTCCAAAATCAGGTTGTTTAGCAGAGAAGTCATATACCAAAATGTACCTTCCTGTTCTGACACTTCCAGGGGGAACCTGGCGTTGTGAGGCATCTCACTATCACCTGCCCTTCACGTGAGGAAGCCTTGTCTGTGCCTGCTGGGGGTCAGCTCCCCAACTTTGGAGGCCCCAAGCACTCTTTCCTAGGCCTCTCAGACCTCTCTGTCTCTATAGGTTAGCGATAGGCACACTCCAACCCTCAAGCCCTCCGAGTGTTATCCTCCTTTCATGAGCCAGACATGCTGTCAGCTTGCCTCCTAGGTGAAGGATCCAGTGTGGCGCTTGGCGCTCCAAGATATACCCAAACAATCCATTGTCTTTATTTTAAAGTAGGACATGCTCCTCCTGTTTGTTCCATCCTGTAGACTTTCTCTGTTGTAGATTTTGCAATCTCTTACTGTATGTGGCTCAGTATGTAAACAAGCATACTCTGTAAGGCATACGATACACAAATGACCAGACAACGAGAGAGTTGTCTGTTATCTCCTGCCTGAAAGAAACATTCCTGAGGTGTGTCCCCGTCTGGTGGAGTTAAACCAGGTCAAGACCTTAAGAATCTTTTCAGTATAGATACTTAACTCCTTAAATATTATCTGTACCTATGTTTTGCATGATTATGCCAACCAGTGGGCTACTGGCTCTCAGAGATCATAGAATCATAGAATATCAGGGTTGGAAGGGACCTCAGGAGGTCATCTAGTCCAACCCCCTGCTCAAAGCAGGACCAATCCCCAGACAGATTTTTACCCCAGTTCCCTAAATGGCCCCCTCAAGGATTGAACTCACAACCCTGGGTTTAGCAGGCCAGTGCTCACATGCTACCTTTCAGTGAACTAGTATGCATTCATGCAACCCAGGGGATCCCTGTATAGGCCTATGCACCCTGTGTCCACTTGCCAGTTGGTACCAAGAGGTCCCTGTCTCTCACTTGTCTCTAAACAATATGGAGCTCCAAGAAAGAGATCCCTTTCAGCAATGAAAAAGTTTGAAGGAAGAGCCCAGACCTCCTCTTTTAGTTCATGTTTGAAGAACTGTTTACTGACTGGTATGGGAAACATTAACACAATGTAAATCTGTTTAAGCCCTCATCCCGAATGTGGCTGTTTCTAGGTTTTCCTCCAGAGACCTCTAAGTCTCAGGCTCTAGATCCCTCTTATCAGAAAGTCTCACTAACCTCTCTGGTGAAGTTAACAAGCCGTACCTGCTGGAATGAGTTAGTAGAATTTACTCAGCTGCTTTATATGGAGCTGTAACTACTACGAACAAGGTGGGTTAACAGAAGTAGCCTGCGTTCCTAGATGGAGTCCTTGGGCCTGTTTTTTCCTCTCTGTCTCCTACTCCCTCACACAGATGATTAAATAGTATACGTGTGTGTTGTGATTTAAAGGCTGTATCTGTATGAGCCCATGTGTGCAGGGTAAACTCTGATTAATTATACAGGTCATCCCATATGAGGGTAGATAAACCATTTGTACTACAATACAGCCTGATGTATTCTATATGTACCACATAAGTTACAGAAAGTACTTTGGAAATGTGCTAGGGCAGTGGTTTTCAAACGTTTTGTATTGGTGACCCCTTTCACACAGCAAACCTCTGAGCGTGAACCCCCGCTGCTTATAAATTAAAAATGAGGGGGGTAATTTAATTAAATGGGGGCTCCAGGCCTTCAGCCCCATGGAGCTGACAGCTTGTGACCCCCATGTAACCACCTTGCGCCCCCCTGATGGGGCATGACCTGTAGTTTGAGAACCACTGTGGTAGAGCTTAAAAAAAATAAAAATCCTTGCCACTGTTATTCTTCGGCTTGTAAAGCCCGATGCCTTCATTATTATGAATCCAGCTGTAGAGGACTTCAGAGAGAGAAAATATTTAAACTAATATATGTAAAACACTTCTATGCAACATTGCTTTTCTGTTCAGAAATGCATCTTGATTTTAAAGTCTTGATTTTACTTTGCGTGATCTGGTGCTTCTATTCCAGGGGAATAGAAATGAGTGTTGTGTCCGCCAACGTGTGTGTTTGGTGTAATCACAGAGTGATCTCTGAGATGGTGAAGACTGAATAAAATTAATGTTTATAGGTTTGGAAAGCCTGGAACTGGTATGGGACTACATTTTGATAACGACAATGGCATAAAAAAATTCTCACTTGGAGGAGCCCCAGATCCAGCATTTTGCTTTTCCACTTTAGTAGTCTAAGATGAAATGGGCCATTGAATGAAACTTTAAGAATAATAATAAAACTAATTGTTTACACTGAGCATAAATTTAATCTTGTTGGTATTACTGAAAAGTGGTGGGATGATTCCCAGGGTTGGAATTTGAAAATCAAGGGTTATAATCTATTTAGGAAGGATTGAGTAGGCAAAAAAGGGAGGGTAAGTTTGAATGGCCCTCTATGTCAAAAATGGCATTGCCTGTTTGATCTTGAATGCTTATGGATGAATGTCCTAACAGATAAAGCACAAGATGGGGTATTGTTGTCTGCTACAAGCACCAGATCACGCAAAGTAATAGGTGCATAAGGGGCCAGTCATCCTATCTATAATGTATAGGGAAAAAAATCTGCATGATCATAGGGAACTTCAGTTTGAATCACACATGCTGGTGGTCTCATGCTTCCAGTATTAAAACAGCCTGGGAACTTCTAAATATTATAGATGATAGTTTCCTAACTCAGAAAGTGTTGCATTAGATCTCCTCTTGACGGATACAGAGGATCTGGAATTGATTACATTTATAATGTGCAAACAGAATGAAGTCCACACCAGTGATAAATATACTTCATACTTTAAAAGGATTAACTTCACAAAACTGAAAATAATTACGAGCCAAATCAGCTAGGAGGAAAATTTAATCAGAAAAATATGAAGGATAATTGGGAATTGTTTAAGAATATGTTACTAGATGTCCCAAAAGCCACAATCCCACAACTGAGAAAGAAGGCCATATTGGTATAAAAAATAAAAGAATTGGTTTAGAGGGGAAGTGAAGGCAGCGCTCAAAAATGGAAGAATTGGGAATTTGATAGTCATGAATATAAATCAGAAGCTATAAATTGGAGAAAATTGATAAGGGACACAAGCAGAACTCTATAGTCAGCAGAGTTAAGGAAAATGACGAGTTTTTAAGTATATGAGGAACAAAAAAAATACTAACTGGTATTTTATACATTATAGATATAAATGGTGGAATTATCAATAATAATGCAGAAAAAGCAGCAGTGTTTAATAAATATTTGTTCTGTATTTGGAGAAAAAACAGATGATGTAGTCATATGACAGCATTCTTTCCATTCCACTAGTATTTCAAGAGGATGTTACACAGCAGCTACTAAAAGCTAGACCTTTATAAATTATCAGGTTCATATAACTTGTATCCAGGCATTTTATGAAAGCTGTCTGAGGATCTTGCTGGACCAACATGTTGAGTTTTGTCCAATAAGACTTGTAACACCAGGGAAGTTCTAGAACACTGGAAGAAAGATAACGTTCCAATATTTAAAAAGAGTAAACAGGATGACCTAAGTGATTATAAGCCTGTCAGTCTGACATAGATCCCGGGTGAGACAATGGAGTGGCTGACAAGGGAGTTGATTAATAAAGAATTAAAGAAGTATAATATAATTAATGCCAATCAGCATGAGTTTATGGAAAATAGATCCTATCACTGGTTTCTTGCTGAGGTGACATGATTGATAAAGATAGTAGTGCTGATGTAGAATACTTAGATGTCGGTAAGGCATTTTGCTTGGTAGTGTATGACGCTGATTTAAAAAAAAAACAACCTAGAAAAATATAAAATTAACATAGCCCACATTAAATGGATTAAAAGATGGCTAACTGATGGGTCTCAAAATGCAGTTGTAAACGAGGAATAGTATTTGAGCAGGTGTGTTTCTGGTGGGGTCCTGGAGGGATCAGTTCTTGGCCCTATGCTGTTTAACATTTTTATCAGTTACCTGGAAGAAAATGTAAAAACATCACTGATAAAGCTTGCCGATGACGCACAAATTGGGGGAGTGGTAAATAATGAAGAGTAGAGGTCACTGATGCAGACAGATCCGGATTGCTTGGTAAGCTGGGTGTAAACAAACAATATGCGTCTTAATATGGCCAAATATAAAAGTATACACCTAGAAACAAACAACGTAGGCCATACTTACAAAAGGGAGAGTCTATCCTGGGAAGCAGTGACTCTGAAAAAGATCTGGGGGTCATAGTGGATAATCAGGTGAACATGAGCTGTGGCCAAAAGAGCTAATACAATCCTGGGATGCATAAACAGGATAATCTTGAGTAGGAATAGATAGGTTATTTTACCTCTTTGTTTGGTGCTGGTGCGACCACTACTGGAATACTGTGTCCAGTTCTGGTATCCGCAATTGAAGAAGGATATTGATAAATTGGAGATGGTTCAGAGAAGAACTGTGAGAATGATTAAAGGATAAGAAAACATGTTTTATAGTGATAGACTCAGGGACCTCACTCTGTTTAGCTTATCAAAGAGAAGGTTAAAGGATGACTTGAGGAGTCTATCATTACCTATATGGGAAACAAATATTTAATAATGGGCAGAGAACGGTGTAACCTGATCCTTTGGTTGGAAGTTGAAGCTAGAGAAATTCAGACTGCAATTAAGGCATACATTTTTAATGGTGAGAATAATTAGCCATTGGAACAATTTACTGACACTCATGGTGAATTTTTATGCCATTGTCATTATTAAAACATAGTTGCAGTGATCATTTAAGTCGTATCCCAATTCCAGGCCTTCCAGAACCTCTAAACAAATTTTATTCTGGAGCAGTCTCTGTTAGTCTTCGACATACGAACAATAGCAAAAAATCATTCTGTAATTATACTAAAAACAACTGAAAGACAAACACTTTGACAAGAAGGTTGCACCCATTGAAACTAATAACATACACTCATAGACTTTAAGGCTAGAATTGTGACCTTCTGCACATTCCCAGGCTACAGAATTTCACCCACCCACTCCTCTGATAGGCCCATAATTTATGGTTGAGTTACTGAAGACCTGAAATCTTGATTTAAAGACTTCAAGTTACAGGCACCCACCGTTTACACTAGTTCAAACCAGCAAGTGGCCCATGCCCCATGCTGTAGAAGAAGGCAAAAAAAAAACAAAACCCATGGTCTCTGCCAATCCAACCTGGGGGAAGATTGCTTCCTGACCCCAAATATGGTGATCAGTCAGACCCTGAGCATGTGGGTGAGACCCATCAGCTAGACATCTGTGAAAGAATTTTCTGTAGTAACTCAGAGCCCTCCCCATCTAGTGCCCTATCTCTGGCCATTGGAGATACTTGCTAATAGCAGTTGTGGAGGGACCATATGCTCATTTTAGGCAGCCTCATTATATTATGCCCTTCGTGAATTTATCAAGCTCAGTCTTGAAACAAGTTAGGTTCCCCTCACTCCCCTAGGAACCGCTTTGCATATGGCACAAATCAAACAAAGAAATGATTGAAACACTTCACCCTGCGTTTACTCCTCCAGTTAGATTTAAAGTTGCAGGTTTGCTAATAGATGCTGCAAGTGAGGAAATAGAGGAAAAAAAGAATCAGCACTGATACTAATGCAAGATGGTTGGTTGAATACAAAATATGACCTGATAATGGCTATAAGCATCCATATAGGCAAATATTTTTACTACTTGCTGCCATTGATTCTGTGTCTCAAAATAAATCCACTAACTATTGTGTCCAGGTTTTTGCTGAAAACACCATCCCAGAAAGCAGAGGAAAAATATGACCAGGATGTGACTACCATTTGCTCAAATAATGAAAATAGAATGAATAAAAGAGAATTTCATGAGTGTCGTCAACCTAAACTTCTGAGCCAAGGACTATTTAATATCAATGAGGAAGAAGTAACACCTAACACAAACCTAAAACACATTGTGAATGTTCAAAAATACTTCTGCAACCAGATTCTTATGTTTGAAGAATGGTTGTTTTAATACATGTATCACATAGTAATTGTGTTACTTCCAATAAACCTTTGTGGGTTTTTTCCACAACAGGGTTGTCATGATTTTCCCCAGTTTAACTAGAATTTAAACACTTCAATCCAAACACTCCAGATCTGAATCTCCTAATATGATGTATTACAGAAATAAGTTTGAGATGCAAACTCTGACATAGATCTAACTTTGAGATTTTGGTTCAGGTCCATCTGTTTTCCCTTCCTCACCCCTCCAGTCTCTGTCTTGGAAAGAACATTTTTCCAGTGAAGCAGTTCTGTTTCTTGGTAGTTGTAGGGTTACCACACTTCCGGGTTTTCCCAGACATAACCTCTTTTTTGGCCCTCCGATCTCCGTCTGGGCAGATTCTTGAAACGTGAAGAAATGTCTGGGATTTTTTCCTTGCTTGTTGCAGATCAGAGAGACCCATCTGTGGAGGGCCATAGCTAGGCTCTTTAGCTCCCAGGGCAAGCAAGCATACTTGAGCTCCCTGCCCTTGGGTCCCTGTCATTATTCCACTCCCGTGGCTTTGCGCCCTGGGTCCCACTTGCCCTGGCCCGGGTACGGCCCTGTGTCTCCTCCGCGCTCCAATTGGTCCCTCCCCTTCATCCGCAGCTGCTGGATCCTGCCCGGTCTGCCGAGTAAGTGGAGCTGGCCAGTGCCTCTCAGCCGGGCTGCCTGCCCCACTGCTGAAACTCAGACAGGGACCCAAGGGCAGGGAGCTCAAGTATGCTTGCTTGCCCCGGGAGCTAAAGAGCCTAGCTATGGCCCTCCACAGATGGGTCTCTCTGATCTGCAACAAGCAAGGAAAAAATCCCAGACATTTCTTCACATTTCAAGAATCTGCCCAGCAGGGAGGGGTGCCAGAGCTAGGCCCCAGCACCCACGCAGGGAAGCGCTGACTGATGGGCTGGTGCTGTGTCCTGGTCCTGCGCCAGCCATCCTGCCACTGTGTCAGGGAGCGCAACACTGCCCCTCACCTAGAGTATGAGGCTGTATGCACCGCACTCCAGCACCCCCAAATAATGCCTCCAGCAACACTCTTAAATACCCTCTCCCATCCCAGTCCACAGAACCCTCCAGCACCCCCAAATACCCCTTCCCAGTACACACACACGCCCCCCTAGAGCCCACCAACTGTACTACCCCCCCGGCTCCCCTTCTCCTTCCCCCGGCAGTGTCTTCTGTTTGGGAACTTGAAACAGGGTAACCCTAGGTAGTTGCCAAAGACATTTTCAATTTGTGCTATTCATAGAGATCTTGAATCTGATCTTTGAAGAGCACACATTTTTTTCATTTTACTTTTGTTGGCCTTGCCTGATTCTAAGAAGTCTGAGTGGGATAAAGTACTGCTTAGATTGAAAGACACAGATCACAGAAATACAATGGCAAGATAGATGAACCCTTGCATATTGGGATCTGCAGGCCTTGTTGTACAGCTTCTGATAAAAATGGTGTTTTAATTTTAATATGTTTCTGTTTGATGAAGAGACATGAAATAACCCTTACGCACCTAAAGTTCTGTCCTTCATTTGCGTTTTCACTTTTTAGGACATGACCGATAACAGCAATCATCAGCTGGTGGTGAGAGCAAAATTCAGTTTTCAACAGACCAATGAAGATGAACTTTCTTTTGCAAAAGGAGACATTATTCATGTCACGAGAGTGGAAGAAGGAGGCTGGTGGGAAGGGACTCACAATGGCAAAACAGGATGGTTTCCTAGTAACTATGTCCGAGAAATAAAATCAAATGGTAAGTCTGAAAGAGAACATATTTGCAAAATGTGATTCTTGGCTTTCAAGAAGAGATGGAAATAACTAATTATGTTTCCTAATGCTAATGAATGCTTGATTAGTGTTCAGTATGTACACTCAATCTGTCCCAGCCATAAGAATCCTTAATTCTTACAAATTATTAACATAGTTTTTGTTCCTAGATTGAGTGCATGGGGGAGGAACATTTTTCAAGGAGCTGAGAGAGTGCGCTATAGAGATGTAGACAATCTCTGTTTGTATCCACTATATTTACAATTATGTTTGCCTTTGTCACCTATAACTATTGATTTCAGTATTGTGTGGGGGTTTGTTCTGGTGTTGACTTCTGTTATTGATCAATAACATTTCAAGGGAGGCTCTCCACATTCTCAAACATTTTCTACCAAAATCTCACCATCTACCTAGGCTGGTTACTACATAGGTGTTTCATGGAAATGATCATAGAATATCAGGGTTGGAAGGGATCTCAGGAGGTCATCCAGTCCAACCCCCTGCTCAAAGCAGGACCAATCCCTAGACAGCTTTTTACCCCAGATCCCTAAATGGCCCCCTCAAGGATTGAACTCACAACCCTGGGCTTATGCTCAAACCACTGAGCTATCCCTCCCCCCCGTTGTGCTTTTTTATTATTGACCACTGCATGGACAACCCTTGACTTTTAACGTTCTGTACTTTGCATATAATATCTAAGGAAGCCAGAGTGTTCTTAAAAGATAATCTCCAACAACATGGAATTGAAAGTTTTAAATGGAACATGTCATATTTTTTTTATAAAACATTTATGTTTTTGAAGTAAGTATGAATAATCGTATTTCTATGTTGCTAGCTATATATTTTAAGCATGCCTTTGTACATTTTCAAAGTGATTCTTTCTGACTGTCTTCCTGCTCAAAGTATGCATATTATTTTGAGAGGAGACAGGCTTTCTATTTCATTTTGTATTTCAATAAATTGTCTCCACACACTGGATTTTTTTTTTATACATTTTTTATGACTGCAGTGTAAAGGAAAAAATACTGGTGAGCGTGCACACGCACATACACACATATATAATATTCATAAACTTTGGGCAAAATTAGCTTCTTTAGACAGAAGGATAACTTGTTAGTTAAATTTGGATGCGTGTTATGGTGATATACATGTAACCGTTCCCATCTGTCACACTGATTTTTATATGAAATCTCTCTTCTTCCTTTAAATAAATTTCCTTTTCATTTTATAATTGAGGTCAAGTGCTGTGTGTCATACAGGCATGGTGGTCTAAGGTAAAACTGGTAAACTGAGATACACTATTCCTTTGGGAACAGAGGATCTGGGATTTCTGTGTGCATCCAGTGATCAGGGACTGGATTCTACAGGGAGCCACTTTGAAGGGACTAGGAGGTTGGGGTGCATCTTACAAGCCTTGTCTTTGCCTTGCAGGTGGGCTTATGCACATATTCCCCATGATTTAAGAGGGAGTGTGCTTGAGTAGCTGATAGGCTGATTTTGTTAGGGAGTTAACACCCATGCAATATATGTAGGGCCCTACCAAATTGATGGTCCATTTTGGTCAATTTCACAGCCAGGGGGTTGTAAAATTAATCAATTTCACGTTTTCAGATGTTTACATCTGAATTTTCACGGTGTTGTAACTGTGAGGGGTCCCAACCCAAAAGGTGGTCAGGGTGGGAGGGGAGGGGGTCACAAGGCTATTGGGATTGCCACCCTTACTTCTGCTCTTCTGCTGGCAGGGGTGCTGCCGTCAGAGCTGGGCAGTCAGAGAGGAAGGCTGCTGGTGGGGTGCCCAGCTGTAAAGCCAGCATCACCTCCAGCAGCAGCGCAGAAGTGAGGGTCACAGGGTATGGGGGGTGGGTTACTATTGGTCTGGTTTTCCTGGCAGTCTCCTGTCCCAGTGGGGGGCTGATAGTTGGGGCTATAGTTGGAAGGGTTATAGTTCCAGCCGCAGCTTCGCGGGGCGGGGCGAGGTGACAGCTGGAGCCATCCGAGCTTCCTGCAGCTGGAGGAGATCCCAGAGGTGGGTCTAACCCACCCCAGGAACAGCCCCTGCAGGGGAAGAGGAAATCTCCTCCCTTCCCATCCCCAGCGGATTAGCAGCTGGAGCTCTGTGCAGGGCAGGAACCCCTGGCTGGATGCCAGGTTTCACAGGGGAGATTAGATTTCACAGCCATGAATTTGGTAGGGCCCTAAATATATGCAAGACTTCCTGATGCTGGAGGCAGGTGGTAACAAGGTGACTGTTAGCCCTGGGTGCCCCGAAAAAGTCTCAGTGGCGTAGTCGGCGGGATCGGTACCCTGTTTGCTAGCTAACCAAAAATCGCTCTTCCAGCATTTATAAGCCAGAGACTCGGAGATTCAAAAGTAACAAGGTTGGAAACAAATAAAATAAAGGTTGGAGTTTATTAATTTGTTTATTTAGGGTAAAGGAAATAAATTTATAAAATGAGTAAACAGAATAAATGGCAAAGAGATCACACTGATTAACCAAAAGGGGACTGAGCTCAGGGGATTAACAGGCTTAGAGGACCAACATGACACAGTTCTCAGTGAGGCAGCCAAAAAGGTGGGGTGTGGCCCCCTCCTTCCCAAGGGGTACAGAGGAATGTTTGGGGGGCAAGCAATGACACCAGATGCCGGGCCTTGGGCTCTCAACCGCAGCCCCAAGTGGCGGGATTCAGGGAGACTCGGGCCAGCCCCGGGCGGTGTCCCATTTTTCCTTGGGAAATATGGTCACCCTATGTAGATTAGGCTATGAGGTGTGATGTTTTTAAAGGGTCTCCATTAAAATGGTATCAAATTACACCAGAGGATTGTCGCCTCAAATTCAGAAACCTCAAAAAACCTCAAAAAATTTGATATGTTAAGTCATGGTGGATTATTTAGGAACATGGATAAAGAGTAAAGACGCAGACAGCCATGATAAGTTGATAGATCAGTTTGTCCAGCAGCAGTTCTTCGAGGTTGGCTCTAAGGAAGTGTGAACTGCTGTGTGGGAAGAAACTCCAGCATTAGTGGAAGCAGCGGCGGAAACAGCTGACTTGTACAAACAAGAGAGACTATTCAGGGAACTCAGGCTGCACAGGGAAGGCCAAAACCCTGGAGTAAAAGTGGATTCCCAGTTTGTCTGTGGGAATACGGAAGGGATTGAGGGAGCCAAGTCCACACTGCCTCAGTACTGGTCTCCTCCTAGTAACTAGTTATTGGACCCCGGCCAAAGAAGGTTTTACTCTTGGGTCCCTTGATCACATGAAAAGTCAATGCCCTAAGTATGGGGGTTCCAAGTTCATTCCCCAGCCTATCCGGGTTAATGCAGCTACCCTTGAGTCAGACTTCAGTGATGGCAGAGGGAGCCCTGTTTAATGTTGTCAGGTCTGTCTTCATGGAGCGAGACAAAAGAGTTCATTAAAAGGCCAAAGTAAAAGGTAAAGTGTGCCGGGGTGGTGAGACACTGGTGCTCAGATTTCCCTGGTCAGGAGGGATGTGATTCAGTGGGGAGTAGTATGCTTCCTGAGGAGAGGTGAAGCTGCTAGCTTTAGGACAGATACAATACTTTTAGCCTGCATCAAATTGGCATGGGAAAGTTTAAGGGGTACTTTGAAGGTGGGGCTTCTTGAGAATTTACCATCTGATGCGTTGGTTGGGAATGATGTAATCTCACTGCCCAAAGCTGTTGATATTGTGACCTGTAGTAAAAGGGAATATGTCCCTAAGTACACAGAGAGTAACCGCTGAGGAGGGAAAAGGGAGCGGAAGCTGCTTCCCCCTTATCAGCAGAGAGGGGTAGTTTATCACAAGGGCAGAGGGAGGGAGAGTCTTTTTCACCTGCGACAGCTCTCTTTGAAAGCAAAAGCTTAACAGATTTTTGCTACAGAGCAGGATCCAGACCTCTCCCTAGAAAGCATAAAAGCAGCCGTCCTCAGTAATGGCCCAGATAAAGAGATCAAGGGAAAGCTCTTACAGGAGAGGGAAGGGTGTGCAGAGAAGACCTGATGGGGGGGGGGGGGGGGGGAAATAAAAGTTCTGGAGAATCCTACAAACAATTGTTTGTGCCCTCAGAGCATCATGTGGAGTTAATGTTACTAGTCCACAATTGTCCCGTTGTAGGTCACTTGGGCGCAGAGAGGACATATGGAAGGTTAAAGAAAAATTTTTATTGGCCCGATATTCAAAATAAGGTAAAGGAATACTGCAGCACTTGTGACTTATGTCAGAAATGGAAAAAGCCTGTGGGATGCTGCAAGGGTCCCTTGCATCCCTTGCCAATAATCAAGGAAACATTTCACACTGTTGCCATGGACATTAGAGGCCCACTATCCAAGGCTACCCAGAGAGGAAAAAAAAAAAAAAGAGTAAATTGGTAGTAGTGGATTTTGTCACTAGGGGCATGTCTACACTACAAAGTTAAATCGCCCAAGGCAGCTTATGTCGACCTAACTATGTAAGCGTACACACTACAGTGTTCCTCCCGCCTCTGTAACTCGCCCGCTATGCTGACCTAGTAAATCCACCTCGAGGAGAGGCGTAAGGCTTAGGTCAATGTAGTTTGGGCTTCTCTGTGTCTCTATAGAAACCAAGTGTCTGTTGGCTGTCAGGGTGGCTGACAGCCAGAGCAGTGAAATTGACAAGAATTCTGCCGGTGGGGTTCCTGTTTTGAAATTGGGTGGAGGGTGTTCCAGCTGTGAGCCCAGCAGTGCTGACAGCTGCAGCCTCGCTGCCTGGTGCTGAGAGCCTGCGGTGTGGGCTCCCCACAGAGGTCCCAGCTGGAGCCTGTCTGGAGCCCGGGCTGGGCTCTCAGTTCTCTGCTGTTCATGGAGCTCCCAGCTGAAGCCTGGCTGCCCCCTAGGCACTCAGCTCCCCACTCCGCATGGAGCTCCCTCCTGGGAACAGAGGATCTGGGATTTCTGTGTGTATCCAGTGATCAGGGACTGAGTACCTCAGGGAGTCACATTGAAGGGACTCGGTGGTTGGGGTGCAGGT